AAAGCAACGAGCTACAACACACAGTGCACAAATAATGGTGCATTGTAATTTTTTCAACAAGACGATATTTTTTAACGGTTTTCAACTCATTTCACTCCTCTAAGGTATCACATGCTTTTTATAATACTATTTTACTCTAATAAAAGGTCAAATGCAAGGGTGTTCAAGACCGACCTAAATCAATCTAAACTGAAAAAGCCCAACCAAAACCAAAAAAAAAATTAAATCTTCTTCAGTTTTTATGATATGGCAACTGATTGGTTCGGTTTAAGTTTTAGTTTTAAGTACTAAAAATCAAACCAAACCTAATTAATAAATACCATTTATTTATTTATAAAATATATAATCATTTATCTACAAGAAATATTTTTTTTAAATTTTTTAAGTAATAGATAAACATTCTTAAAGGATTTGAATGAAAATGCATAATATTAAATAATTATAATAATCATGTTATGACTATCATTTAATTATCTACAACTTGAAAGCCTCACATATTCAATTTATCTATAAGAAGCATTTTTGTTTTGAATTTTGTGTAATAAGTTTTTCATTATTTATTAAAATAAAGATGTATAGATAATATTTTTATAAGACTTGAATGGAAATACATAATATTAAATAATTTTTAATATTAAAAACATACATCACTTTTTATGATTAATTATTGTTATCACATCAAAATTTTATTATATTTGTATACCTCCATTTATGAAAAAAAAGGAGTCAAAAAAATTAGATTTAATTTTAATACATAAGACCATTATGAAGATGGAAAAAGAAAAAAATCAAATAAGTACATTGAAGCTTAATTTAGATGTTAATCAAACTGAACCAAATTAAAAATAAAATCAAATTAAATTGATCTCCATACAAATCAATCAAGTCCTAATTATAAGTAAATTGAATGGTTCGATTCAATTTGATATTTGTCAAAAATTATACCAAACCGAGCCTATGAACACTCAAAGTCAAATGTCCGGTTTTAACTTATTTTAAATTATGAATACTTGAAATTTTATTTTCTTAAAATTACAAATTTGGTAATTTCTTTATGGATTAATCCATTAATATCTTGAATTATGATTCTAATTGTATTTAGATAAAGGGGACTACACAATTATAATATAATAAAAGAGATCTAAGTATATTTTACTTTTATAGTTCGAATATGCATGGAATAATAAATTTTAAAGTAACTTGTGTGGAAATAAAATAAGCTGGCATATATTTTTCTTATCACAGACACATGTTATTTATATTTTCAATATGTACAATAATGTTTTTTTCTTTTTTGTGCAATAGAAAAAGTGTGAGGCCCATTAAAAATGGTGGTGGATGTAAAATTCATAGTAAAAAAAAAATGATAGGTACAATGCCTACAATGAAATTATAAACTTAATTTAGGATTTGAATTTCATACCTGTAGTAACTATATGCATTGAGTGCAAAATCTATGCCAGTTAAATTAATAGTTTGTAGAATTTGTTGCAACCAAATCAAAAAATACTAAATCTAAATCAATCAAGAAAACAGTAGTATAATAATATAAGTCCTTCGTGAATAATATAGAATATAAACTCATCTATCATAATATTGCATAAAAATATCATAATATAATATAAAAATATGAATTTCTACAAATTGTTGATTTAATGGACAATATAGATCTGTCAGGTGGGTATAGTCACTCAACATTTTTAGTTGTTGCAGGCATGATATCTAAATCCCTTAATTTAGAGAACACATAAAAAGTTACATATCTTTCCTCATGAGTTTTTTTTTTTTCAAAATTTAATTTACTCAAAATAAAAAATTTTAAATAAAACAATTTGTTGTTATTTTTCAGAGCAAGGAATTGGGCCAGCCCGAAAAAGTTCCAAAAAATTTAAGGTAAAGTTTAATTAAATAACATAATTTTTATGTTTAGACCTATTCGAATAGACTCAATTATAATTTATTTTATATAGTTTGAAAACATTAATGTGTTGGTTCCTATAATTTTTTTTTCAATTTCAAATGGTTTCTATAATTTATTTTGTTTCAATTGCACCTTTATAGTTTGATTCATTATATTTGTTAGTCGTTGAATGTTAATATTTTGAATTGTTCTTAAAAATCCTAAGCACTTTTGTATTTTTATTAAATAATTATATGATTTTAAAACTAATTATATAGTTTTATAATTAAAAATTTATATAATCAGGTTGTGTGTTCTAAATAATTTTATGCATAGAGTTTTTGAAAAAAAATTAATGAAAAGCATAAGCACTGTATTAAATCAAATTTTCTAAAGACATTAAAAGTTTTTTTGTTTTGAGAAAATTAATCATTCATTAGTACTTTTAACCTCAATAAATAAATATGTATTAAACAATAAGAGCTTAAGACCTAATTTAAAATTGAAAGAAACTATAAAGACTTATAGATTAATTTCTTTATTATATAATAAACTATTTATATTTTTTAATATGTATAAAAGTTGTACATTATAGATGGTAAAAAAAAAGTGGTACGTTATAAAATAAATTTTTTCTTTAAGTTTTATCTTCAACAGAGAAACACTTTTTAAAATAAAATAAATTATTATTTATATTTTTAACATGTATTTATATAATAAATTTTCAAATTTAATTAGTTGTTGTTTGGTTTAATTTTGCACAAAGCAATATATTATGAATATACTAATACTATTTCCTCCATTAAAAATTGTAAGACATTTTTAATCAAATTTCACCTCAAATAAAATAGTTATTTATATTTAAACTAATTATAACTCTATCTTTTCATAATTACCCTTATTTAATAAAGTGTTTCACCCTATAATGAATTTAAAATTAATTTATTAATATGGAAATTTTAAAAAAGACTAATGATTACATTTTAAAAAAATTGTGAGCACCGTATTACTTGAACACTAATAAATAAATAAGGTAAATATTCATAATAAAATAATAAAAAAGAAAATAATAAGAATGAAAATAGAAAAATATTTTATAACAAAAACTAAATAAATTGGATAATGAAAAAAATAATCAATCTAGATCACAATCTAATATAATAATTTGAATATAATAATCAAAATATAATATAATTTAATATTATAATTTAAAGATTTTAAGATAATATAATAATCAGGATATAATAATAGGAAAGATAACAATTAATATCTAATCTCTAATAATAATAATAATAATAATAATAATAATAATAATAATAATAATAATAATATAAGAATATACAAAAATATTAATTTTGATCATAATAAAATTCAAATTTTAGAGAAACTCTAAGTGCATGGGTTCATATAAAAGAAAACAAAAATAGAGCAGAGACAGTTAGAGAAAGACTCAAGGAAGGAAGAAAATATGAAACAATATAAGTTCTAATTGATTGAGTTTCATATAGATAAGTTCACATTTTCTTAAATTATAGATATGTCTATACATTGGTAGAAGATTTCAAAAGGTTCGGCCTTAATGCTTTAAGTCTTAAATCATTTAATGGTTATTATTATAAGAAATATTAACCTAGACATGTTGCTTTTCACCTCTTTTTAAATAATCCTCCAATGTTCATCTCATATTTTGTCTTCATGCGTTGTCTCAAATGCGTTGAGGAAATCATTATTTACCCTAGAAAAAATCACTTAATTAGCCCTTAGTTTTGATGTGTCAAATAATGGCTTAATATATCATTTAACATCTTATTTTGTAATTAACATTTTTTGCTTGTGCCATTATGATATGCGTGTATACTAATTAAATCGCTTGAAAATTTTTCGTATCCCATGTTACTTTGAGCCAATTGAATTTATGGTTAAATTATCAATATGTGTATCTACAAAGAATTTTATATTCTTTTAATAGCGCGAGACTTTCAAAATCCTTACAAACTTGTATCCTTTTCATTGCTTGAAACTTTCAAATTCTTTGCAAATTTTATAAATTAATTAATTTATGTTACATAGCGATGAATTATCATATGTACATAGTTTTGACATCATTAGTTGCGTGAGACTTTTAAAGTCATTGCAAATTTATAAATTAAATAACTTATCCTACATAGTAATAAATTATTGTAAGTTCATTTTAAAATATTATATCATTAAATAAAATAAAAAATTTTCCTAAAATAAATAAATAAAATAAAATATTTTTTTTTCAAAGGTGATTGTACAGTACGAATATTTTCATAAATCTCATTCAAATATTTTTCCTAAAATTATTTCTTAGAATCTTGTCACAAATAAAAGAAATAAAATATTTTCATAAATAAAAATTACAAATCAATATTAAAGCTATTTTGTAAAAATTAATAATTAATATTTTTCTTAAAAAAATTCCATCCAAGAGACACACATTTTTATCTTGAATTACATGAATTTTGGTCCTTAAAAGATACGTAGGCCCTAAAGCTTTATTTTAAGTCAAGTCTAACTTATAAATAAATAAAATATTTTTTTTAATTTTCTTACTTTTTTATTAAGAATAATTAGTATATTTTTTAATGCAATTTAGATTTATATAATTAATTTAAAGTAATCATTCACATAAATAGATGTTATGAGGTATTTAATATTTTTTTCACACACAATTGACTCTCTTATTTTTTTTCTATACGTAAACCTCATGTTAAAATAATTTTTAAAATTATCTTTTAATATTTTAATGATGACTCTAAATATTTAATTTTTTAAAAAAAATTTTAGAACGGGTGTGACAAAAATTATTTAATTTTTAAAAAATATTTTATATTTTAAAATGAAGTAATATTTTTATCCTTTAAACATTACAACATCCCCGTCCATCACGGGGAATAGTTCTAGTTAATCAAATTAAATGAGAAAATCCCAAAGAAAGACATGGTCCCACGAAACGTGAAAATCACGTGCAGTGCAAAGGGTGGCTAAGCTGGGAGATTCTCCCCAAGTAAAACACAAGCTGAGGTGGCTGGTAATACCGTCCCGCCGATTCATGGCGTGGGTAACAGTATTCCCTAATTCGAAACAAACGTTTATTTTCCAAACCTATATGCTATGCCAGTTGATCTTTGTGGGTAATGGTAATAGTATATTTGTTAACGCCTCACTCTTTCTCTTCCTTCCTTTCTCCTTCGCATCCACAGCTCTCCCCAAACCTAACCGCTCACAATGCTCTATTTTCGCGATTGGCTCTGCGAGCTATGATTCGGTGCCATTCACGTTAGATTGGAGATTGGGTGAGTTGTGAGAGGTTGAGGCATGTACAGAGAGCGAGGTGGTGTTGTGTCCAAGTCCGAGGTGGTTTCGGCCGATCGCAGGCTAATCAATGACGTCCTTGACAAGCAGCTCGAACGACCCTCATCTTCCACTTCCAGGGCAATCAAGGCGAAGGACAGTTCGGCGCAATCCACTGCTAAACTACCGCATGATCACAGGGACTCTCGCTCTGCCTCTGCCTCTAAGAATTCCGATGTCTATGATGGTTAGAATCGCTTTGAGCTTTTTTTTTTTTTTTTAATTCTTGTATGCGTAAGGAAACACTGTTTTCAAAAGTTTTGTTCTTGTATGGTCTTTTTCTTGTATTAGGATCCGATCTGTTCTCCATCGTTTTGATAGCAGGGGTTTATTTTTTTTCCCCCTTGAGATAAGCTGTTTGGTGGTAGGAAACTTCGATGGAAGATGGTAGAAAATGTTGCTTTTTCGCTTTTTCGCCTTTTGTACGAGGGGTTTTCCGTTCAACTTGTCTAATTGGATATACGGTGTCTGTGAGTAGGGGGAATGGCTCTAATTTCTTACACTAGCAGAGCCAGCCCGTACAAAAAGAAGTTTAACTCTATGAGGGGCATATCATAGAAAGCCAAGAGGAAAAAATGTTAGTATGATATCTGCAAATTTATTATCCCACTGGCCTACCACTTACAGGTGGACATGTGTGTAAAAAGTGCAGGTGAGAGCTGAGAATAAAAATGCAAGAGAAAGATGAGAGGACAGAGAGTGCTTCCATGAACATGATATATAACTGCCGACATTGACATTAATTAGCTGACGTTTATCTTATACGTATTGACTGTAGAGGAATCTGAAACAGACAGTGAGGCATCAGATGTTAGTGGTTCTGATGGGGATGACATGTCTTGGATCTCATGGTTTTGTAACCTAAGAGGAAATGAATTCTTTTGTGAAGTTGATGATGATTACATACAAGATGATTTCAACCTCTGTGGATTAAGCAGTCAAGTGCCTTACTATGATTATGCCCTTGATTTAATTTTGGATGTTGAATCCTCTCATGGTAAGTTTATTTTCATGTTCAGATATTTCATCTTTAGTTTGGATTACTGGCTATGGGGTTTCTCATGTTGCCAATGTCATTTGATCGAATTGATTCAACTATTTTCCTCAAAGCTGAAATTGATTTGTTCGAGAATATGACTGCTTCTCTGATTGGTCTTTCTGTACAATCACCTTTATTAATATAAAATGTAAAAAGTATAGGAAGTCGCATCTTGGGCATCATACATATGCACAGGACCTACTGTAGTTTATATAAATAACGATAACTTCAGCTTGATTGGAACGTCTAGGTGACATGTTTACAGAGGAACAAAATAAGTTAATTGAATCAGCTGCAGAGATGCTTTATGGTCTGATTCATGCTCGATACGTTTTGACAAATAAAGGAATGGCTGCTATGGTGAGCGTTCCCTCAGCTATCCATGTTTTATGGTTTACTCACTGTACATAAAGTTGGCACTTCCAATGATGTTGAATTATCTGCAGATGGAGAAGTACAAAAACTATGACTTTGGCAGGTGTCCGAGAGTTCACTGCTCTGGACAACCCTGCCTTCCCGTTGGTCAGTCAGACATTCCTAGGTCAAGTACTGTAAAGATATACTGCCCTAGGTGTGAAGACATCTACTATCCCAGGTCCAAGTATCAAGGCAGTATCCTTATACATATCTATTGAAATATGTAACCTGTTCGTTTTGATTTTTAGGGTATTTTTATTATTCTTTGCAAGTAATTTTTTGTATACTCATTATTTTCTGAATTTTGTGGAAAAAGTAACTGGACAGGAACTTACGACATTTTTCCTCCCTAGGAGAAAAAGTTTAACTTAATTTATATGGTGAGCTTTTCTGTTCTACGGCAGATATCTATTCATTTTATTGATTGCTAGGTTTTGCTTCCCGTACTGTCCAGATTTACTTCGTGTGATGGAATCCTAGGTTTGATATGGTATTTGGAATGACTGCTTGTTACTCTATGCCTCGCCTTTTGTACTTGTGGGATCAACCTTATAGATGAACAGTCCATCCTGTAATTCTTATCAAAGTATCCTTAACGTACATAGATGTTGATGGTGCTTATTTTGGAACTACTTTTCCTCACCTCTTCCTGATGACTTATGGGCATCTGAAGCCACCAAAGCCATTACAGAGCTATGTGCAAAGAGTTTTTGGTTTCAAAGTTCACAAGCCATGAACCTGAATGGAATTTCAAGCTTTCACCAAAAGAAGAGTCTGTACATGTCTGAGTTTAACTCACTCTGCTGTATCCCATCCCGTGAAAAGTTCAGCGGATAATAAGCCGGTTGGCATCTTTATTTCATATTCTCGGTATTCCTCAGTTTTATAGAGATATACATGCGGGCATGTCCTGCAGGCACCGAGCGCTTAATGTTGTTTGAAGATTCAAATCCTGTCAGCCTTGATCCCCAATAAGAAAATCAGCGAGCTTTTGTAAAACCTGTTTAGGTTTTTAGGTTAGGTACTTGGATCAAATGCACATTTATTGATGTTTTTTCTCCTATGAACTTTGGTTTATTTCAAATTGTTCTCTCATACTACGCCTCACTCAGTAGTTGTTTTGATTGTACTTCGGATCACTGTTGCTAAAATCTGCCGTATTTATGCCATTTCTTCATGTTCGTTACTTAGCATTGGAAAATTGGGATGGACCTGACCTTTCAAAGCGGTATTTATATAGTTCTATAGTTGGATACCGCAATGAGTCCTCAAAATGGTGAGATCTGTGTACCAGAGGTGCTATTTTGTGACAGGGAAGCGGTGTGTCTTCTTGCAGGCAATCACCATCACGCAGTGGATGAAGACCAAAGAGGTCCCTTTCAGCTGCAGAAAACACATGTCACTCTGATATTTTCCGCTTATCTGTCTGGTCTCTGGCGGGGCTGAAATACAAAATCTACAGGTAACACATTCTCTGTCTCATTGGAAGAGGCAGGCGCATCCCACCAGTTTTGTTTGGGCATGCTCAGCTCTTACTGTTACAGCCAAATCCACCCTGTTGAATCTCTTGCATTATCGTGTCCCTCGCTCAAGTGAGTTTTCATCAGTGTGTGGCTTGAACCATCCGTAATCTTAGAAGGTTCAATTTTTTCATTTATGTTACGGTTCCCATCAGAACCATATTATTACTGTTCTTTCTTTCTTCTGAGCTAGGTTTTACTATTGTCTTGTTGAAGGGCGAGAGATGTTACTATACGCTCCCCCTTTCTTTTGAGAATGGACACCTTGTAATATATGAGATCGTATAAAATATTTAATGTATGAGATCGTATAAAATTTTAAAAGTATTTTGGATTTAGGACATTTAGGTATATTATTACCACTCAAGGGGCTGAAGTCTACGCTAATTTATTGAGGAAAAAAGTATTTCATATGCCTTGCATTTTTCAAATAATACAAATATTTGAAAAGCCCAAACTCAGTTATAATATTCACGAAGAAATGGCCCTCAGTCCTCACTGCTAACGTAACAATAGTCAATAGGATGGTTGAAATTTGATTCCCACCGTATGAAACGCGTTCTGGGAATTTTTTTGAGCCAAAAAAAACCATTTTATTAATCATCAAAAACAAAATACGCACACTAATCACCTGTAAAGAAAAAACAAAACAACCTAGAGTACAAACTAAAGAAAATAACCAAAGCAATAAAACTATCATACAAACTACAAACAAAACAAATAAAGCAACAAAACATTAAACCAATCCAAACACAAAACAAATCCATTAGCCAATTCCTTTCTTCATTTTCATGTCAGAATTGCCGCTGCACAAGTTTTCAACTAGAACTGAAACCAGAGAGGTGGTGGCTGATCAAGCCACCTTTGCGGTACCATCCTACTCATGATATTAGCTGCAATCCAATCCACAACATTATTGCCCTTTTGAGACACCAAGGCAAGAGAACATTTATTATTAGACTTGTACAACTCAAGACACTGATGCAGAAAATCAGTACATCTTCAATCACAACCTTTAACCTCTAAAGCTTTAATCATTTTATACAAAACCTGACCATCAGTTTCAATAATGACATGTCCCCTACCAAACAAATCTTTAATAAGTAGAGCCTCAAGTAATGCTAAACATTCAGACATGAATGCAGAATCCGCTTGCACATCCTTCCCAACACTACCCAAGAATTGACCCTTCCAGTCTCTACCAATAATTCCAATAGCTGCTTTCTAATTCCTGGCTCAAAAATGCCCCATTAACATTAATCTTCACACAATCCTTCTTAGGTAAGTGCTAAACCATAAATCTCTCCTCTACCACATCAACATGCTTCACACTCTTCTGCCTTGACACATTACCCTACCACTCATCCACCATAACCATAGTTTTACTCAAACAAAAATCAACATTGATCTCAACTTTCTCAAAAATATAACTATATCTAGTCTTCCAGATTGACCAGCACAATGCAACAAAAAAGAGACCAAAAAGTCATCCACATCATGAGTCAACAACCAGCCCTCTAACCATCTATCAAAACTTAACAAATTCCTTTTACTAAATTTCAAAGATAGAGGAGAACCATGCTAGCATTTCTTCACCTATGGGCACAAAAAGAGCATATGCTCAATGGTCTCAGGTTGCTTCCTACAAGTGACACATTCAGGACTATTAGTACCCTTCCTCCTGTATAAAGCTTCCTTTATCACCAATGCACCACTGGCAGCCCTCCACAAGAAATGAGCCACTTTAGGTTGCATTTTAATCTTTCAAAACCCATTCCATAAATTCTTTGAAGGCTTATAAGATCTACCAGGTTTACTCATGACATTAACTCTGAGTTCTTCCGTTGTAGCTTTATAACCATCCTTAATAGAATATTCTTCATCTCTGCTTCCCAGCCATACATATCTATCCTCACCTTCCACAGACGGGATTCTAACCTTCCTAATCAATTCCACCTCTTCTAGACTCACCCAACTCTCAATACACCCTAGATCCCATCTACCATCTTTTATAATTTCACAAACTTTAATGTTTTTAATGTCATTAGGCAAATCCCTATTTTTCATACTATGATCAATAGCTGTAGGAATCCACTTATCCTAAAAAACTTTAACCTTTAAACCAATTCATGTTTCAAAAAAATCTCTTCCTTTAAGAATGCTTGACCATCCCCATGATGCCAAACTTCCCTTTTTAGCCTGCATAAAGACCTTTTAATATCCGACACTAATAATCATTCGGGTTCAATAGTAACCTCCAGGCAGTTTTTACTAATAATACTTCGTTAAAAACTCAAAATTTCTAAATCCCATCCCACCCTCAACCTTGGGATTACAAAGCATTCTCCATGCCTTATAATATACTCTACCTTCTTGCCCCTTCTGTCCCTATCAAAAGTTTGAGACCATGTTCTCCAACTCAGCACACACCTTTGGGAAGTTAAAGCAAGCCATAGGATACAATAGTATTGCATTAGCTACAGCCTTAACCATGACTTCCCTTCTTACAAAAGACAAAAACCTTTGCTTTTAATTCTGCAGTTTCTGACCCATCTTCCCTTAAACAAAAGCTAAAGCTTCAGATTTTAAACTCTCCCAAACCATAGGAAGTCCCAAATACATACCACTTAATTGATTTAATACCCAATGCACCAAAAACATCATCCTTCAAACCCTTGCTTGCATTGCTGGAGAAAAAAACACAAGACTTATCCAAGTTAACTGCTTGACCTGATGCTCCATAATAAGCATCCAAAATGCTCTTTAAAACACTGCAATTCTTCTTTGAAGCATTAAGAAAAAATAAAGCATCATCTGCAAATAGATAATGTGACATAACAGGATAGTTTCTGGCCAAAGTAATTTCCTTCAACTTACTAAAATCAATATATAACTAAATCATTTTTGATAGCACATCCATGACAATGATGAATAGGTAAGGAGATAAGGGGTCTCCTTACCTTACACCCCTTCTCATGTCGATTTCAGCAATATTCTTCCCTGCCATCATTAGATTCAAGCTCACAGACTTCACACATTTCATAATCCATCCAATCCATTTTTCCCCAAAACCCATCTTCCTCATAACTTCCTCGATAAAGCACCATTCCAGTCTATTATAGGCATTAAGATCAATTTTCATTGCCATCTCCACTTTCTTACCTATTTTCTATGCTTTAGGTAATGAAAAGCCTCATATGCAATTATTAGATTATCCTAAATTAGCTCTTAAAGACAAAAGCTCTTTGATTATGAGAAATTATTCTCGCCACTACCTCACGCATCTTATTAGCCAGATTTTTGGACACAATTTTATACACAAAATTGCATAAACCAATTAGTCTAAACTGTCTTACTTTCTTAGCATTCTCAACTTTAGGATTTAATATTACATTAATCTTGTTAATCAGATTCAAAATAACATTATTATTGAAAAAATACTGAACCATTTCGATTACTTCCCTACTCACCTTTTGCCAAGCTGATTGATAAAATTTTTTAAAAAAACCATCTGGACCAAGTGCCTTATTTCCACTAAGTTGAAAAGTTGCAACTTTAATCTCTTCTTCTGTCACGACTTTTTTTAACAAAATGTTTTCCTCATTAGTAACCTTACAATCAATAAATTCAAGCACCTTATTTAATTCACTTACTCCACTAAAGGCAGATAATTGATTGTAAAAGTTAGTAAAAGAACTATTAATCAGATCCTCTTTTTTAATCTGGCCACTATCCTTACCTCATAACTTGACCACTTTATTTCTCATACTTCTCTGGATAGTGCTTGAGTTAAAAAAAACTTGGTGTTCCTATCTCCAACATTCAACCAACTAACTCTCTATCTCTGCCACTAGTATTTTTCCTCTCTATCCCAGGTTTCCTCAATTTGCTTCACAAGACATTCAATTTCTGCTCTTCTAGCCTTAGTTATAATTCCCTTTCTATACCCTTCAAGTTTGATAGCAAGTCTTTCCACTTCCTTTTTAACATTTGGAAAAGTATTTATGGCCCATTGAGAAAGAATCTTCTTGCAATTATTAATTCTCCAAACTAACTTAACCATCTTATCATCATCACAACTTACCCCCAATCTCCAACCTTTTTCTCACAGTATCCAGAAATTCCTTATGTTCAGACTAGAGTGCCTTAAATCTAAACATTCTTGGAACTCTTAGCAACTTAAATTCAAAAATTCACCATTAATATGTAATAATAAGAACCTATAGGCTCAACATGCAGTACCACAGCATTTGGAAATTCCTCCCTAAAATCAACATTTCCAACTACCCTATCCAACCTTTTTTTAATATAAGCATCACCAATTCTGCCATTACACCATGTATACGCACTACCCTTTTACCCTAAATCTATTAACTCACAATCAGCCAACAAACATTAAAAATTCAGCACTCTTCTCATATATGTAAGGAACAGACCCAACTTCTCAGAACATAACATCATGTCATTAAAATCACTAAGACTCATCCACGAGCCCTTAACTTCGACAGCAATACTTCACATTTTATCCCACATATTCATCTTATCTTTCACTCTAGGGGCTCTATACACTAAAGTAATATAACTAGGCACCTTTCAGAAGAAGATTTAAGGCTAACATGAATAAGATTATTAGAAAAATGTCAGACATTAATCATCACTTCCTTCC